CTGCTGCTGCTGCTGCTGCTGCTTCAGCAGCAGCAGCAGCAGCAGCAGCGGGACGCATGCACGCGCTGCAGCACAGCGAACTCCTCAAAAGAGCTGAAGAAGTCGCCAAGGAACTCTACAACATTGACGCACTCGAAGTAAACCCTAAACCCTAAACCCTAGTACTCAAACCCTAAACTCTAAACCCTAATTCGCAAACCCTAAACCCTATTTCAGGCCCTAAGTAACCCATCTCTGCGCATCCAAAACCTCCTAAAACACCTAGGGGAAAAGCAAACCCTAAACCCTCAAAGCTACACCCTAAACCCTCGACACTCACGGCCCCGCCTAATCCGAAACCCTAAACCCTCAAGACCCGCTAAACCCTAAACCCTCGCAATTTGTTAAACCCTAAACCCTCAGGGCCCCGCTAGACCTTAAAGCGTAAGCCTGCGTAGCCTCGCTACACCCCGACCCCTAAACCCTTTTGGCCCTGGCAAACCCTAAACCCTAAACCCTAAATCAGCGCATATGCAGCTTCCTATTTGAACAGGCCGGAGGGACAGAAATAGTGCAGCAGCGGCAGCAGCAGCTGGACCGGCTGCACCGGCTGGCGCTGCAGCAGCAAACGAAGCAGAAGGCGTGGGAGCAGCAGCAGGAGCAGCAGCAGCAGCAGCTGCAGCAGCTGCTGCAGCAGCACGCGCAGCTCAAGGAGCGCTGGGACGCCCAGAAGCAGGAAGCAGCAGCACTTTCCAAAGAAGTGGAGCAGGTCAGAACCCCCACACGATCCCACACGATCCCACACGATCCCACAAGACCCCACACGATCCCACAATACCCCCACACGATCCCAACACGATCCCAGACGATCCCAGGGAGCTGTTTATGCCCCCACAAATGCCAGGCCTGGCTTTGAAGCTTCTGGCAGAAGCTAATTTGGCTTTCTTCTTATTGCTGCTGCTGCTGCTGCTGCTTCTGCTGCTGCTGCTGCAGCTGCAAGAGGCTTCTGCTGACTCCCAGGCAGCAGCTATGGGGGACTTTGCGATGGAGCTGAAGCTGCCACAGGGGGAGCTGCGGCAGCTGCTGCTGCACCAGCAGCAGCAGCAGCAGCAGCGGACAGCAGCAGCAAAGCTGAATCTGCAGCAGCTGCGGCTAGAAGCAGAACTCAAGGACTGCCGCAGCCGCCTGGAGGCCGCAGTAGAAGCAGCAGCAGCAGCAAGAGCAGCGCAGCAGCAGCAGCAGCACCAGCAGACAGACTTCCTCACGCAGCAGCTAGCTGACTATGAGCGGCAGCTAGCTGAGGCCGAGCAGCAGCAGGAGGAGCGGCTGCAGCAGCAGCAGCAGCAGCAGCACCTGCTGCAGGAAGTGGAGAAGGAGCTGCAAGAGCTGCGGCAGCAGTCTGACCGGCTGCTGCGGGAAAAGACCGAAGCAGCAGCAGCTGCTGCTGCAGCGCAGCAGCAGCAGCAGCAGCAGTACTCCCAGGCTGTGCATTTGCTGCGGCAGGCAGACGCTCTCGGCCTCGAGCTCCCACTGCAGGTAATTCTGCTGCAGCGGCTGCTGCTGAACCTGCTGCTGTTGCTGCAGCTGCTGCTGCAGCTGCTTCTGCAACATCTGCTGCTATTACTGCTGCTGCTGCTGCAACTGCTGCTGCAACAGCCGCTGCTGCTGCTGCTGCTGCTGCTGCTGCGGGACATATGAATTCGCCGCTTTCAGTTAAGGTTTTCTTTCGTTTTTCTGCTGCTTGCATGCGCCAGCGCGGGACTTGGAAGGAGGTGCAGCAATTCATCACGAATGTGGACCGGCAACAGCAGCAGCAGCAGCAACAGCAGCAGCAGCAGCAGCAAGAGCAGTACGAGGCGTTGCGTTCCTTCTCGTTTGACTGGAATGCTATTTCTCCGGAAAGGCAAAGGGTACAGTGCCTGCTGCTGCTGCTACTGGTTCCTGCTGCTGCTGCTGCTGCTGCTGTTGCTGCTGCTGCTGCTGCTGCTTAGTGGGCATGCACTTTTGGGGCTTTTTTGCATGCAGCTGGTTGAGAGGCACAAGGGGGACCCTGGGCGGCTGAAGGGGGAGCAGCAGAGTTTGCGAGAGCAGCAGCAGCAGCTGCAGCAGCAGCTGCAGCAGCTGAACCCGAACTTCAAGGTTTCGCAGAAGCTCCGGGAGGTGGAGCAGCAGGTGCAGCAGCAGGAGGAAGTGCAGCAGCAGCAGCGGCAGGCAGCAGCAGCAGCAGAGCAAAACCTCAAAGACTTGCGCATGCGCCGCAAAGAAGCTTTTATGAGCTGCTTCCTCCATTGCCAAAAAGTATTAAATCTCATCTTCGCTCATTTGTCAGGAAAGGGCCCCATGCAGCAGCAGCAGCAGCAGCAGCAGCAGCAGCAGCAGCAGCAGCAGCAGGACCAGCAGCAGCAGCAGCAACAGCAGGACTTAATGATGCTGGAGGACCAAGCAAGCGAGCACTGGCAGCAGCAGCAGCAGCAGCAGCAGCAGCAGCAGCAGCTGGAGCTGCTGGACACTGGGGGGGCGCAAGCCTTTTTGGACTTGGAGAGCTCCACAGCTTTAGCCAGGGACGAAGAGCCCTTCAACTGGTAAAAAGGGTTTAGGGTTTAGGGTTTAGGGTTTAGGGTTTAGGGTTTAGGGTTTAGCTTTAGGGTTTAGGGTGAGGGTTCCGGTGAAGGCGAGTGCGCCGCGGGGGCTGTTTGCGCGCGTTTGGGCGTGGTGCAGGGTTTAGGGTTTAGGGTTTAGGGTTTAGGGTTTGTGCGTGCAGCGGGGTTTCTCTAGTTTGCAAGTTTCCCACAAAACGCTTTATGCAGTTTGCGCAGCTAAGTGGAGGAGAGCAGCACGTGGCAGCACTTTCCCTCGCCCTCGCCCTTTCTTCCTACAACCCCGTAAACCACCGAGGGTTTAGGGTTTAGGGTTTAGGGTTTAGGGTTTGGGGTTGTGTGACTTGTGTATATAAATAGTGAATGTATGAAGCGTATTGTTTTGTCTAATCTTTGAATTTATTATATATCATATATATACATATATAAATATATGTATATATGTACATATACATATATTTCAATGTATTAAAATGCAATAGAATAATATTATATATATATAATATATATCATATATATATATTATATGTACAAGTTTATATAATATATATTTATTTGTGTATTATTGAAAATACACTTTTAAGAAATCTGCAAAAGGAGATGCATGCACTTGCATGCATGCAAAGATGCCTTTTGCAAAATTTCGAAAAAGAAGTTGCTTTAAAGCCCTTCTTGAGAGCCAAATTGAATAAATTCAACCAAATGAAGCATTTAATAGAACTAAATTAATTAAATTGGAAGTCTAATTGAATTAAATCCAATTAAATCAATTAAATTAAATTAACTTGTTTATTTTTCAGAAAGTTCCTTTTCTTCTTCTGGACGAAATCGACGCGCATTTGGACAAAACGCGTTTGGGCCGTTTGGCGGATTTGATAAGAGAGATTTCGGGGAGCAGCAAAATGCAGACCATTTTCGTGACTCACAAGGAAAAGTAAAGAAATAAAAGATCCAAATCAATTAAATAAAAGGAATAAAATGAAGAATTTAATTGAATAAAGGAGAAAGAGTTAAATAAAGAACTAGAGTAATTGAAACGGGGGGGGAAAAAATTCAGTTTCGTCCGCTCTCAACGCAGTCTTGGAGTCTGCACTTCCGGTTTTGAACCTGCAGTTGATTCTTTTTCAATTCTTTTTCCTTAATTCCTTTTTATTTATTTAATTTATTTATTTTATTTATTTCCTTCAGGCTCTTCACTGCAGCAGATTTGCTGGTCGGAGTTGTGGGCGACGCGGCGCAGTCGGAGTCGCGGTGTTTCTTCTTCGACGTTCGGGTGTACAGACACCGCGAGCCTCCGTGCGCGGCGAACTGATTGGATCTTTTGGAAAAGAAATCAAATAAAAAAGTGTTTGCATTTCTTCTTAACTACTCAAGTTTTTGTTGTGCTTTGACGCGAAACAGAAAAAGTGCGAAGCGACTGCGACGCAGACTGCCCGTGCTGCTTCTGAGGTGTACAGACAGCTCGCACGGCGCGTGCAGAAAGATTAGAAAGGGAAGTTGCAGTTCTTCATTTGAATAAATTTGATTTGAATTGAATGAAATTGAAAGCAATTCCATTTTTATTCAAAACGCCACTGCAAACACCTCAAAAAGGTCCTTCTTTCCCTTCAAAGAAGCAGCAAATGCCGAAACCGATTGAAAGGAAAAAATAAATTCAAAAGTGGAATTGACGCGATCAAATGCAAAATTTAAAACCTGCATCAGCAGGGAAAAGGGAAAGAACAATTAAAAGGAAAAAAGAAGAAAAAACGAAGGAAAAAAGAAAAAAATTCAACTTTTTTGAATTCAACTTCTTGAATTCAACTTCCACTCTTCACATTTTTTCCCCTCCGAGCCACCAACTTGAGGGCCCTAAAAACTTCCTCGGAAGTCAGCGGCGCAAAAGGCACATCTGCTCCATCTGCAAAAAAGAAAAAGACAAAGTTTGAAGTTCATTGCATGCTTTTTTTGCTGCTGCTGCTGCTGCTGCTGCTTTGAATAAATTTATAAAACAGCAAGTGTGGGAATAAAAATGACAAAAAAGCTCTAAATCCGGAAATGTGAATATTTGATATTTGCATGCGAGTGCTGGG